AGTAGTCTTAAAGCAGCTGAAAGTTAAGCAGGATTTAATAAATATTTGTTGATTGATTGGTTTGATTTTATCTCACAGTGAATGTAATAATCATAATACTCTGACAAATTCTGGGCTTTTCATGTCAAAATTTAATATAAAGACATATGCTTCAGCAATTTTTTTAGCTCCCAATATCATATCTCTAACATCCTTCAACAGCCTTGGAAAGCTCAGAGTTATTACACTAAACATATTTCATTTCTCTGGACAGTTCATTATGTTTGTAATCTCAGAGCACATAGTGATGAACCTACACAGCTTGCTTTTGCCAGACCCCAATATTCCTAATTTCGCAGCACCTCAGTTAATATTGTTTTATCTAAGTTCTGAAAACATAGAAATAAAAAAATAGTAAAACATTAAGATATGAATAATTTTTTATGGCATTAGAAGTTCCTAGGTATTGTAAATAGTAATGTACTTGAGGTTAGTATGAGGGTTGGTGGTTCAAATCCATCCTCAGAAGACTGACCTGGCCATCTACTACTGAGAGGTTATGACCTTGCAAACCCTATGGAAGAGAGTTTGCTCTGCATATGTAGGGTCACCATGAGTTGAAATCAACTCAACAGCATTAACAACAGCCCTGGTGGTATGACAGGTAATGTGTTGGTTGCTAATGGAAAAGTTAGTGATTTTATCCACTCACTGACCATACCTTTCAAGGAGAAAGATAGTCCTTCTCAAGTAAAGATCTATCCCATTGGAAACCTAATGAAGGGTGGCCATGAGTTGGACTTGACAATGACATTCATTATTGAATGCCCTTTCAAGACGTAACTTGCATTTTAAAAGTAGGCATCTAAAGAGGGAAGATTCAGTCTTAAAATTCTCATGCTGTGTTGTTACCTCTTAGAACAGTAAATGCGCTTGCCTATTTAATCTATGCCACATTGGTAGGAAATGAAACACAACACCAAAACAAGAACTACAAAAATTAAAGAAGATGATTCAACGAAGGAAAGGAATCTGAAGTACCTCTTTGTTTCCAAGACATATTTTAAATAAATACATATTTGAAATTTGGTTCACAGGACCACAGCCACATTTGCTGTTTGCCAATTCTCAAGATATTCGATCCATGCGTCTTGATGGAACACACTATGAAACCCTGTTCAGTGAGCAGATGGGGAATGTATTTGCCCTGGATCATGATCCTGAAGAAAATAAGGTATGGTTTTGCCACTGAGCAGATATGGATGTGCATGAAGGACAGAATGGAAGATTTTATCCTAACAGATGTCCTGAACTACTTGAAAACCTTACTAAGAATGATTTTGCAAGGGAAAATATTTAAATGTAGACATTAGAATATCATTTGAAAAAATTTAATGACTTTCTAGTTATTGTCACTGCACCTTTTTTTTTTATTTTAATGAAAATTTACAAAGACTTTGGATTTCCATTCATTCAAGTTTGCAGTTTCCTCCCTGACCCCCCTAGTTTGCTTTTCTATTTGAAAAAAAAATTCTTTCATTGTTCTACAACCCGCACCCCCAGTCCACTTGTTATGACAATAATACCTAATCATATATTCCTCCTAAACTGTGCACCGTGTTTTTTTATTTTGATCTACCCATTTTATTGATAAGGAGGGTAAGAGGTTAGTACAATGCCAAAGATTTAGCAGACACTCATAAAAGTGCTGTGGATTCTTTGGTGGTAGTGTGGAAAGAGAGGGCAGCAGGAGTTGTAAGGTATATATGGGGAAACATGGACTAATAATTTGCACTTAATACATGACACTGAAGAAGATAATCCAAATGAACTCCTAACCATAAAATCAGATAACAAATTGTTTAGTTTAAGGAAATAACAGTCTAGCTCATAAATAGTCCATTTTACAGGAAAGTTTTTAGAATATATTAAAGTGCCTCTGCTTATTAATCACTTAATAATTAGAAATTTAAATTGTTATTGATCCGATCTGTGTAATTTTTAAGGGTTGTGCTGCTTCTCAAAAGCTGAGGCCCTCTAGTGGGTGGAGTCTGCCAGTGGGGCCTCAGGAAAAAGATGGACCATTTCCTTTCCGTGCAATTTACAGCTTCAGAAAACCAGTGGAGAAGCAGCTGTGAGTTGGTTCCCACTCGATAGCAGCGAGTTTTGAATAAAGGAATTATCGGGAGCCCTGGTGACACAGTGGTTAAAGCACTTGGATGCTTACTGAAAGGCTGTGGTCAGGCCAGAAAACCCCAGCTGCTTCATGAAGAAAGACGGCAGTCTGTTTCTCGAAAGACTTACAGCCCTGAAGACCCTGGAGGGCAGTTTTATCCTGTCAGGTTTATGAGCTGGAATTGACTTGATGTTAATGAGTTCTATATTTAGTTTTAGCTGGCTGGTAATTTTTTTAAAAAAAATCCTCGAACTCATTGCTGTCGAGTCAGAATCAAGCCAAGGCTGACCTTTCGATGGGTTTTCCAAGGCTGGAAGTTACAGGGGACAAGATTGGCCGCCTTTCCCCTGCAGAGCCACTTGGTGGATCCAAATCACCACAGAGGAGCCACTGTGTGGTTAGCAGCTCGGTTCCCTCCCCTCCAGGCCACCGGAGCTTCCTGAAGGGTAAACTAGGTTCCTAGAGTTATCTTAAAACCATGGTTTTGTTTCTTTTTTATTCAAAGGAGGTGATTAGTGCAAATATTAGAATTTCTAAAACACAGCTCTAGCAGAGAGTATTTGCGTATGAGAAGTAGTAGTCACTTAAGTATTTAAGGCATTAAAACTAGTTGCTTTCCATAAAGCTGTTTTTAACTCATGGCAACCCCCTGTGTGTTAAAGTACAACTGTGCTCCATTGGTTTTCAGTGGTTGAGTTTTCAAAAGCAGATCACGAAGCATTTCTTCTGAGTTGCCTCTGGGTGAGTTTGAACCGTCAACCTTTTCAGTTAACAGCTTAACGCATTTACTGCTTGCACTACCTGAGAACTCCAATTAAGGAAAAGAACCTAATATGGGATCTTTGGTGATCCAGGCTGTGAGGAGTTGTGCTGTTAACCCAAAGGTGGCACATCTTTGGTGATTCAAATCCATCAAGAAAGATAAGCAATCTTCTCCTGTGCAATTTACAGTCTCTGAAAACCCACTAGAGGGTTAACTCTGAATTGAAAGTAATGAGCGCGTGAGTGAATATTTTATAGTAAGTGATGGGTAACCTGTCATTTAGTAAATTACTTTATGACTATTCTTGTCATATATGAATTAATATATATGAATATTTTTATGCAGCAATGTGATCAACTGTGTCAGAGATTGTGAGGATAGCGGGGAATAGTACAGGATTTAGATCTGTTGTTCATAGGATTATTATGGGTTGGACTCGTTTCAACAGTACCTAACCACAATAACAACATATGTAGTTAAAATTCCACGAATGCTATTATTAAATTGTCAGCAGAAGAGTAGCACTTTCTAGCACTTCATGGAATTCTTGTACCTATGTGATAATTTACATGCTAGACTGCAAAAGAACTTTGCACCTGCAAAATGTGCTCATTTGCTCAAAATGGATTAAGTAAAATGAAATAAGGTTAGAGAAGAAATGAATATCAAAAATTACCTCATCTAAATTTCCTATTGTTACAATTGAGAAAAAAGAGTCTTGGTGAAGCTAAATGATTTTGTCAAGACAGGCCAGTTAGTGGCAAAGCTGGGGTAAGAACCTATGCCCTCTGATTGGTAGTGCAATGGAATGTTGTGGGCTAAACCATAGTAGAAAATACAGCATGACTTTCAGGCACTTTTACGCTGCAAACTATTGATCCTTTCTGGTTTTAGGACACTGGAGTTTAAACACACAAAAGAAATTTCTAGTTTGTATAAGGTGAAGAGTTTTCGATCTATTATTTTACATATGCCAATGAGTTTGTCATTGCTATCCCTATTTTTACCAAGGAAGAAACAAATGTTTTCAAATAATAAGTGACTTGCCTAAGGCTATGTGTAGCTGAGAATGTGCACAGTTAGAATTTAGTTCCCGATGTATGTGACAGCAAAATAACCTTCTTAACATTTACAGAGTTTAAATACTGGAAGCTTTACTAATCCCACTTTATATATATCTTAATTGTTTTTAAGAAGTCAGACCATGTCATAAGGACAAATACTGCATAAGACCATCATTGTAAAAATAGAAGGATAACTAGTAAGATGTGTATAAAGGTCCAAAAGGGCTACAGGGAGTGAGGGAAGGAGGTGGAAAAGAAGAAGGGTGGAAATCTCTAGGCTAGCAGAGTTTAGTGGGCAGATGGGATGGGGTGAAGGAATAGGAAATATTCAGTGGGGACTTGAAAAGATGGGGTAATACTATGCATAGACCAATAGTAATAAAGTACAATGTAAATGAAAGATTGTATAAAACACAATGTACATTAATTAAACACAATATAAACAAATTATGCAATTTTAAAAAAAAGAAGTCAGACAGAAATACCTATTTTCATTTGTAGATATACTTTGCCAACATAGCTCTGAAGTGTATAGAGAGAGTTAACATGGACGGTTCAAAACGAGAAAGGCTCATTGAGTATGCAGTCGATACACCAGAAGGTCTTGCTATAGACTGGATTAACCGAAAACTCTACTGGACAGACAGAGGGTATGTTTCTTCCCTCAAATTTAAGCCACATTGGATGGGAGTGATGATGGTATAGGTAATATGACTGTGAACCCAGGTAGGTATTTCTCTGGGGTATTTTCTCATAGGAACGTGAAGTCGTATAGGTAAGCAGTAGCCACCAGAGTGACTAGCCCTTATGCAATCATATTAAAATTTAAAAAGGGAAAGCAAAGTTAGAGTTTCCAACAAATAAGCAGTGAGCAAGAGCTGGAAATGGAATTTGAACTCAGGGATCCACTTCCAGAGCTTAGACTCTGAATCACCCAGCCTCCCCTAACATGAATTGATTGAAATATTCTCAACCCAGAGTGATAGTATAAACAAAAATCAACTTTAGTTATAATAATGATAGAAATTATAATAATAGCTTCCTCAGTGTTGGATCTACTTAAAAGGACTTTGTAAAATGTCAGTTCTTCATAATAACAGAGTGTACTCTTCTCTGAAGAGCAAGCATGGACCAGGAGAGCAGATGTTGACCCTCTGGGCTGCGTTTCTTTGTATTTCCCACATTCGCATAGCACCTCTAATTTTTTTTTAGCACCTCTAATTTTAACAGTGTTTGATGACTGGTACTGTGTCACCTACTGCAGAGGGAGTGCCTTTAAGAATAGACAAGCATAGTAGTATCCTGCACAAATTCTCTGACTTCAGTAATAACAAACCCTTCTTATACCTTCTTTCCTCTAAAGGCAGCTGCTAAAAGAAAACCTTTAATTTGTCTGGAGATTAGATGTTTAGAGTTAGAAAACCTTGATGTCGGAAATGTTATTTAAATAACTGAGGTTCAAACCTTGTGCTTTTACATTACAATTTTTAAATTGGTAACTGCTAAGCAGTTGAAAGAACCAGAGTGGATGGTGACAATATGTTCTGGCCTGGGAAAAGACAGATTCAGATTAGTGTCCAACAGTACGAAGGAAGCTACTAGAGGTGGACAAATGATATTTAAGCCATTTTTAAATTGTGGTGTTGATGAAGAATATAAGATCTACAGAATAAAGAACAAATCTATCTCAGAAAAACAGCTGGAATCATTCTTAGCAGCAAGGATAGTGAAATTTTGTCTCATTTACTTAGGAGATGTTACCAGGAGGCCAATCACTGAAAGAAGAAGGATATTATGCTTGGGATAGTAGGCAAGTCAGCAGAGGAAATGTCTAAGAGTTGCATTGGCACAGTTGCTTCAACAATGAGTTTAATGAATCAGAGATTGTTGGGAAGGCTCAGATCAATTGGGTTTCATTCTGTTGTTCGTACAGTATCTATGAATCAGAGCCAACTTGATAGCAACTAACAGCAACAATAGTTTTGTATTCCACTTAGTAAAAACAACACAAATCCTCCAACTGTCCAATCTATTCTGACTTGTAGTGACCTTATGGGACAGAGGAGAATGACCCTGTAGGATCTCCAATTAGTAATCTTTATAGAAGCAGACTGTGGTGTCTTTTGTCCTCAGAGTAACTGGTGGGTTCATATTGTAGACTCTTTGGAATGCAACTTAACACTTTAGCCATTGTGCTACCTGGGCTCCAATAATAAAAGAAAGTAGTATTTTTCCCCCCTTTTTCCTTTTAAAGTAAAGTTGGTGTACCAAGCTCCTCTCTACTGTCTACATTTTAGGAACGCTCTAATTGAAAGGAGTGATTTAAATGGAACACTTCGTGAGATAATCATCACAGACGATATCTCTCAGCCACGAGGAATTGCTGTCCATCCAATGGCCAAGTAGGTATTTCTAAAAGTAAGGAATTTTTCCACTGAGCCTTATGGCTTATTATGCTTGATGTATTGTTGTTGTTTTTTGTTATGTGCCATTGAGTTGCCTGTGACTTATAGTGCCCCTATGTACAACAGCTCTGAAGCTTGCCCTGTCTTGAGCCAGTCTCACACCTACCCCCATTGCCACAGTTACTGTTCAATCCATCGCATCTGGGGTCTTCCTCTCCTGTGCTGTCCCTCCACCCTTCTGAGCATGATGTCCTTTTCCAAGGACTGGTCCCCACCTAGCCATGTGCCTAAAGTATGTGAGGTGGAGCTTTAAAATCCTACCCTCCAATGAGAAACTTGGCTTCACCCTTTCCAAGAGAGACCTATTTGTTTTGTTGGTGGTCCATATTATGTTGAAGTCTCTTCTCCAGCATCAGTTCTTTCCGTCATCCTTGGTCATGATGTTTGACGTATTACTGTCTAAAATTTGCCATAGGCTCTGGTGGCCACTGAAATTAGAAACCTGGAAAATCATCAGATTTGTTTAAATCTTTAGAAGTGATGTTGTTAGCAGGGAATCGGCTTCCTTTTAGAGTCGTTTGGGTTTTTATTGTTCATATTATTAGGTAGGACAGATTTACTTTAAACAAATTCAATTTATCTTTTAAAAAAAAGATTAAGCTGTGATTCTTTAATAAGTTAAAAACAGGCCCATTATCTGGAACTAATCAAACTTCTTTAAAAAATCTATGCTATTGTTTTTTGACAGAGGACAATAAAATAATTTGGACCATATCATTACAAATTCTGTTTAAAAAACTGTCAAAGGAATTTAAATGATAGGCTACTCCAAGGGTTAACCTATAATAAACAAAAGAAAGCAGAAATTAAGAATATTAATTATTACTATAGTTTTTATTTAGAGGATAGGAAAAATAGCAAAAATTAATTTCATTCTAGTTGTCCAAAGCAATGATAAAAACAAACCATATTTCAGGTATTTCAGTGGTACTGAAAATAACAATATTATATAGAAGATAATATATTAATAGTACTAATGGATCTTCAGTACTCTGCAGAGGTCCCTGACAGCAGCTTTTCCCAATGCAATTTATCTTTCATTTCCTGGCTGCTGGTATCAGGAGTGTTGATTGTGGAGCCAAGCAAACTAAAGCTGTTAACAAATGCAATCTCTTCACCATCTGTCATGATGCTGCCAATTGGCCCAGTGGTGAGAATCTTTGTTTTCTTGATGTTGAGCTTCAATCCATAATGAAGGCTGCAGTCCTTGACCTTCTGTAACAAGCACTACAGGTCCTTCTCAGTTTCAGCAAACAAGGTTGTGCTCATCTGCATTGATGAGTTTTCTTCCTATCCTGACACCACATTCCTCCTTATAGAGCCCAGCCTTCCAGATGATCTGTTCTGCATGTAGGTTGAAAAGTCATGGAGCTAGGATGCATCCCTGATGTACACCCTTCCTGATTTTGAATGATATAGTGTTTTCTTGCTCTGTTCAGATACCTGCCTCCTGGTCCAAGTATAGGTTTCACATAAGTACGATCAAGTGTTCTGGGATTCCCATTCTTCTCAATGTTAGCCACAGTTTGTTGTGACCCATAGCGTCAAATGCCTTTGCATGCATAGTTGATGAAACACAGATAGACATTCTGCTGTCAGGGACCTCTCCAGAGTACTGAAAAGCAACAATGTCAGTCTGGAGACTAGGGTATGTCTGATCCAGGCCATGGTCTTTCCAATGACTTGCTATGCACCAGAAATCTGGACAATGAATAGCGATGATAGAAGGAGAATTTATGCCTTTGAGCTGTGGTGCTGGAAAATAGTAGTGAATATACCATGGACTTCCAGGAGAACAAACGTGTTCATCCTGGAGAAGGTGAAATGGGCTGCTCCTTGGAGACAAGGATTCAAAAGCTTTATCTGACATAATTTGGACATGGTACAAGGAGGGACTAGTCCTTGGAGAGAGACATCATGCTTGGGAGGGTGGAGGGACAGCACAAGAGAGGAAGACCCTTAGTGAGATGGATTGATTCAGTGACTGAGATTATGGAGGGAGGTATGTCAGATACGATAACGTTGGCTCAAGATAGAGCCAAGTTCAGAGTTGTTGTACGTAGGGTTGCTATGAGTCACAAGCAACTCGACAGCACATAACAGCAATAATAACACTAATGGACGATTTGGAGTCAGTCAGATGATTAACAGACTGGTAAAATAGATACTGTGCCATTATATACCCACCACCCCCACATACTTATTTATAGAACTTAAAATATCCAGGTTTACTGAGTATCAAGTAGAAAGGTTTATTATTTTTGTGGTGTGCTATCAACTTGGAACCAATGCACAGCTGACCCTCCAGTGGGTTTTCAGAGGCAGTTTAATTGCATAGGAGGAGATTGCCTATTCTTCTTCCATGAAGCAGCGGGTGCATTTGAACCACGTGCTTTCTGGATTGCAGCACAGCTTCTTACCTTTAGACCACCAGTGTATTAGACATATTCCCTTCTTTTGCTGTCATTTAACATGCAAGTGAGTTTACTTACTTTTAACAAATGGGCATATTTATAAGATTTCACTACATCTTGCAGCTTGAAATGTTAATTAAAGAATATGCCATGAAGCACATCTTTGATTAGTAATATATTTTTTATCTCATTGTCTGACCTTGTATGCAGTTTTTTTTTGTTCCAAATGTTCTATATAGAAAAAATTATAATTTTTATTTTAAAATTATTTGTCCAACATGCAATGCTATGATCTCCTCATCCTTAGTATAAGAGCTGTATTATGTTTGTGCAAGGACCTAGTGGGATAGTATGCTATGTCTTAGACTGCTACCCAAAACATTGGTGGTTCAAATTCATCAACAGCTTCTGGAAAGAAGGATGAACAATCTCCTCCTATAAGATTCATAGCCTTAGGGAGCTCTGGTAGCCTAGTGGTAAGAAGCTGCACTTCAATGCCAGAGTTGTGTGGTTTGAATCTACCAGATGCTCTGCTGGAGAAGGAGGGACAATCTCCTCCTGTACCAGTCAGATCTGCATTGATGATACACACACAAAAATTAATAATATAAAATAAAGTAAAATCAAAAAAGATTCATAGCCTTGGAATCCACTAGAGGATTTCCATGAGTTGGAATCTAACTGGCAGCAGTGGGGTGGTGTTTATTTGATCTTGCTTCTGTTTTCACTCTTTAGTGGGGGTGAGTACCACATCACTTTATCCTGAAGTAATTTACATTGGTGCTTTCAATGATGAAAAAGGAAACTTTTTTTGTATGCAGACTTTATTTTGCTGTGTGTTTTCTTTATTAAAGGAGACTCTTTTGGACTGATATAGGAAGTAGCCCACGGATTGAAAGTTCTTCCCTCCAAGGCTCTGACCGACATATTATAGCTAGTTCTGACCTCGTCTGGCCCAGTGGGATAGCAATCGATTACTTGACTAACACATTGTACTGGTGTGATGCCAAGAAGTCAGTGGTTGAGATGGCCAACCTGGATGGTTCAGAACGCCAAACACTTGCAGAGAATCAAGTAGGTGAGGCTTCGGGATGGGTAATTTATTTATCTGAACTCGGTGCTGATGAATGCTAAATACAAAATGTGTTTACACTAACACTTAACTTTAAAGAAAGAAACAGAGACAAAGATTTTTCAGGGTATTATGATCTATGAAGATTACTTCGTTGTTGTTGTTGTTATGTGCCATTGAGTCATTTGCAACTCATAGCGACCCAATGTACAAGAGCCCTAAACACCGTTCTATCCTGTGCCAATCTCGCTGTCTCAAACACATTCATTCCCACCACTCCACTTACAGAATCGACCCATCTCATCGAAGGTCTTCCTCTCCTGCGCCGTCCCTCCCCTCTCCCAAACATGATGTCCCTCTCCAAGGACATCTCCTTGCAACATGCCCAAAGTATGGCAGACGGAGCTTCAGAATCCTTGACTCCAGGGTACATTCTGACTTCACCCTCTCCAGGACCAACCTGTTTGTTCTCCTAGCAGTCCGTGGTATATTCAACACTCTTCCCCAGCACCACAGCTCAAAGGCATCAATTCTCTTTCTGTCATCCCTATTCACTATCCAACTCTCCAATGCATAGCACGTAATTGCAAAGACTATAGCCTGGATCAGGCGCACCTTAGTCTCCAGCCTGACGTCATTGCACTTCAGTACTCTTGAGAGGTACCTCAAAGCTGACTTTTCCAATGCAATTCATCTCCTGATTTCCTGGCTGCTGTTACCAAGAGTGTTGACTGTGGAGCCAAGCAAACTAAAACTGTTAACTATCTCAATCTTTTCACCATCCATAGTGATGCTGCCATTTGGCCCAGTGGTGAGAATCTTTGTTTTCTTGATATTGAGCTTCAATCCATATTGAAGACTGCAGTCCTTGACCCTCTGCAGCAAGTGCTTCAGGTCTTCCTCAGTGTCAGCGAGCAGGGTTGTGTCATCTGCATAACGCAGGTTGTTGACGATTCTTCCACCAATCCTGATGCCACTAGGAAAAGTATTAAAATTAAAATAGTGGTATATTTTTTAATTTTGTTTGTAAACATTTTTTCTATTCAGAGTGAATATATGAAAATTTTCTAAGCTTGCAAAGATAAGCCCTTGGTCGAATTATTATTATTTCATAGATTTTAGAACATCTTATTTTCCCATTTTTAAGGTAGCATATTCATTGATTGTGTACCATGTACAAAGATTAACAAATCAAGTTTTCTCCCCTATTATGTTTTCGATTTTTGCATGGGGCAGTATCCAGTTCCTTATTTGGCACTGTGGCCTATGGTAAATGTCAGAAGAAAAGTACCAGAGACTGTCAGTACGAGATTAATTTTGACTCAGCACATCTATGAAGAAGATACTAGTTAAACTAACTGATTTATTTGGTGATCAAATAAACAAAACCCCAAACTCACGGTAGTAATTTTAACTCATAGTGAACCTACAGTACAAAGTAGAAGGGTCCTATAAAGCTTTCAAGGCTGTAAATCTTTACAGAAGCAGACTGCCCTTCTTTCTTCTCCAGAATGACTGGTAGGTTTGTAGTTGCAGTCAAACTCTTTAACCACGGTACCAGATTGAGCTCCTATGTGACGGCCAAATGGGAAAAAGTTATATTTGGAAATAAGCCTACAACAGTTGGTCTTAGTTTGTCAGTTCTGCCAATTAACTTAATTCTGGGTGTCCTAGGGAGTCACTGAATGTTCTTGAGTGGGAGCATATGATAAAATGGGTATCTGTAGATGATCTTATTGTAAGTCCTACTGTTGTAGACCTACCTTATTGTAAGACCTGGACTGGAAGTTGGAGAGAAGAGAATCAATTGGAAGCTACAGTTATCCAATGAATTGTTAACAAGGGCCTGAGTTAGATAGAGAATTGTAATTTAAAAGTGGATTATGGGATCAGATTTTTAAAAAATCATTGTGGATGAAAAATTGAAGGGCATTACTAAAGATTCAGAACATCTGGATGTTGGTAAAATGGTTAAGTGCTCAAATGCTAATGGAGGAGTGTTGTTGTTATGTGCCCTCGAGTCGCTTGAGACCCATAGCGACCCTATCTATGTACAACAGCCCTAAACTCTGCTCTGTCCTGTGCCAATCTCACTGTCTCTGACACACCCATCCCGATTAACCCAGTCACTGAATCAGTCCACCTCCCAGAGGGCCTACCCGTCCTGCGACTGCCCTCCACCCTCCCAAGCATGATGTGCCTCTCCAAGGACTGGTCTCTCCTTACAACATAACCAAAGTATGTCAGACGAAGCCTCAGAATCTTGGCCTCCAAGGAACAGCTTGGTTTAACCATCTCCGGGATGAATCTGTTTGTTTTCTTAGCAGTCCATGGTACCCTCAACACTCTTATCCAACACCAAAGCTCAAAGGCATCATCAATTCTCCTTCTATCCTCCCTAGTCATTGTTCAACTCTGTGATGTATAACAAGTGATTGCAAAGACCATGGCCTGTATCAGATGCACCTTAGTCTCCAAAGAGACACCATTGCTCTTCACTACTTTAGAGAGGTCCCTGGCAGCAGACTTTCCCATCACAATATGTCTTTTAATTTCCTGGCTGCTGGTGTCAAGAGTGTTGATTGTGGAGCCAAGAAGACTAAAGCTGTGAACAATCTCAATCTCTTCACCATCCTGTTCAAAACCCCCTCTTCTCCCCAGTGACTTAGAAACCACGAGACATCAGCCTCAGAAACCCTATGGGGAGGTCTTATCTGTCAGATAGCAAGGATCTGGAACAGATTCAACTTGTTGACAGCATTTAACAACAAAATCAGTAACAGATTAGATATAGATTATGAGAACCTCAGCTGTTGAAAATGCTTTGGGGTTTTAGAAATTGTTTTGGTTTGATTGTATGGACAAAACAAAACATGCCTCTCTCTTTTAGACAGGAGTGGCATCCACTTTCTAAACAACTTGCCTCCTGAAAAACTTTATGAACTTTTATAATGTGGATAGTTGTAGAGGGGCTTCAGGCCTTTTGTTTATAGGGTTGCTTGCCTCAAAGGCATTCAACAACAACAACACTTTTAGGAAGAATGTAACAAATACTTTGTATAAGATACTTCTTTTGTTCTCTTTGGCTTTAGAGGTAATGAATTTTATGACACAATAAGTATATAAAAAAATAAGTCTAACTGGAAAATGTCTACATTTCCAATAAGCTTAAACGGAAAAGACATACCTCAAAATAAATTATAAGTTTGTGTACAGTTTTAGAATTTACCCTTTCTGATGGCCTAGTGATAAGAACCTGTACTACAATCCCAAAGGCACAAATTTCAAATCCAATAGTTACTCTGCAGGAGAAGGATGGGCAGTCCTCTTCTGTGTGATTAGCTGCCTCTGAAGACCCAGTGGAGAGTCAGCTACAGGTCATTTCTGACTCGATGGCACACAACAACATTGAGTCATTATAGTAACTGAAGATTACGTTGTTGTTGTGCACCGTCGAGTCAGAACCAAACCGTAGCTGACCCACTGACAGGTTTTCAGAGGCACAGGAGGCAAGTTCCCATGACTTCTGTGAAGTCGTGGTGTCTAATAAGAGACCCAAACATTTTTAATAACAAATCACTGAAATAGATGCAGTATTATAACTGTGCTACAGGGAACTCTGGTGGCATAGTAGTAAGGAGTTTCCCTGCCAACACAAAGGCACATGATTCAAATCTACCACTTACTTTATGGGCGGAAGATAGGTAGTCTCCCCCTGTAGGGGTTACAACCTCTGAAAACTTCCTGAAGGATCAGATCTGAATCAGTTGTGACTTGATCACATATAACAACAACAACAACATAACTGTGCTGTATGAGAACTTTGGGCAGGTTACCAAGAAGGACTAGGCTCTGCAGAAGGATATCATGTTTAGTATAATATAGAATCAACGAAAGAGAGTAAGACTCTCAATGAGATAGTTTTGACTCTGACAGCTACAGAGAATTAAACCCAGCCAGGATTGTGCGGATGATGCAAGAACAAGTGGGACTTTGTTCCATGATGCACAGGGTCAGTAGGCATTGGAAACAACTCATTGGCATCCAATGACTACCATGCTATCAAGCCACTACGTTTGTGGTGGTCATAAGCCATCGAGGTGACTATGATTCATAGCGACTATATGAACAGTGACTCTGAACTTTGTCCTAACCTGTGCTATCTTCCCCAACACACTAGAGCTCATTGTTACAGTCACTGTGTCCATCCATTTCATTAAGTCTTCCTGTCGTATGCTGACCTTGTCAAGTATAATGCCCTTTTCCAAAGATTAGCCCCCTCCTTAGAATATGCCCAAAGTATGTAACACTGAGTTTCACCATCCTTGCCTTCAAGAAGCACCCTGGTTTCGCTTTCTCCAGGACACACCTGTATGTTGCTTTGGTGGTTCGTGGAATATTCAATAATTTTCTTCAACATGGCAACTCAAAGCATTGAGTTCCCTATAGCATCTTCTTCTATAGTATAGAAGCCACTCACTGTAGGGTAGTATAGCCAAGAAGCATAGCATATATTTAGCCTACAATTTATATTGCAACTATAGTCTGTGACAAATACAGCTTCTTGCTGAAGGATATTATCATAATTTACTATTAAAAAAAAAATCGCTAAATATCCATTCCCATCATAACAGTGCCATCTGCTGGTACATGAGTGGTAGCTTCCCCACCCCTTTATTTTATTTTATATTGGTTTGCATACAAAATTTGTGTACATTGTGTTTCATGCATATACATCCTGTTTCACACATTTCCTTCATTTGCACTGTGTTTCATATGATCATTCATATACATGTTAGAAGTCACTCTTTTTTAATTTAAGAATATTATTATAATTATGGCTGTTAATAGTCTATGTGTTTCCTACTGCCAAAGGGGCCCTTTAGAGTAGTGAGAGAAGATCTTCACCCTGAAACCCACAGCGTCCCTTTTCAGCAGGAAGTA